ACTCTTCCCCCAGCCTGTAACGCTGCATGTCGTTGTTGTGGCTGAAGTGTTGGACCAGGCACTTGCTCTTGTTGAACCTCATGCCGTTGGTCTCAGCCCATCGATCCAGCCTGTCCAGGTCTCTCTGGAGAGCCTTCGTACTCTCCAGCAGATCGACACTCGCACCCAACTTGGTGTCATCTGCAAAAACAGCACGCTGCCCTTGCTAGCATGGTGTCCCAGCTTCACTGCTGCTTAGAAAGGATTTGGCAGAGGCACAGGGCGAGAGGCCACCAGTGCCATCTCACACTGGAGCAGGCACAAGCCTGGGGGTTTCTGATGAACACACGAGTCCCAATCCACCAGCACATCTGACCGGCGTGAGCACCCACAAAGGGAGCACAGGCCTGGGAAACATTTGGTTAACAAGGATTTGCACTCAGTATTAGCACCCCAGCAAACCCCTTCACAAACAAGACTTCGTGGTCTCCCTCTACCCCTAGAATGACAAAAAAAGGGAAGAAAAAGCCCAGACGCAGTCAGCCCACGCCCCTTCCCTGAAGCAGCCTTACCTTTGTGTGCCCAGCGCCTTGATCACCGTCGAGAGGAGTCGTCCATCCTTGGCAGTGACCTGCGTGATGTACTGCGGGCGACCGATGTCGGAGTCCTCCACCGATTTGGAAAGGGCAGCACTTCCCGGGCAGTCGCACAGGGAGCCGGGGAGGTGGCAGCAGTCACCAGTCGTCATGGCAGCTCCAGGCCCCTCTGCCCCGGCACCGGTGGCACGGAGACCTGTGGGAATGGCACCGCCGTGAGAGCCCGGTACCCCTGACTGCCAGCCAGGGCATGGGCCCCCCCCTCGCCACCCTCCTCCAGCCCCACGCAGGCTGGCAGCACCCCAGAGGCCCCAACAAGCTTGTCTTCTGTCCCCTTTAATAGGCTTTGCAAGGCTGCCTTACCATAAAATTAAGGTTCCAAGTGTCCTACTTACATAATTTAGCGTCAGAATTGCAAATTTGCCTTTCCCAGACAGAATTCCTAGTACCCACCCTTTAACCTCACGAAGCCTTTCAAACCAAACATGCCGACGCAGAGATGGGGAAGGCAACCATAAGCCCCAGGGGCCCACGTCGTTCTGGCTAGAGCCGTCCTGAAAACTTGTGTTCATACCCTCTGTAAAAGTTCTTCACAGAAATCCATGCGTTTACGTTTCCACATCCCATGTGGTACATTCCAACAGTGAAGGTAGAGGTATTAATCGCCCCGAAGCCTTGAAAATCCTCCCAGGACTCTAGAGAAAGGGCAGCAGGCCAGTTTTCCTCCTTTCCCTTTAAATGGTTCACACCAATCGTGATTTTTACAACAGCCACGTGCAAACAGCAAATCACACCATCCCATTTTCAGCACCTCTGCGATTTACTCAGCAAAGAGAGCACAAGGAACAAGCAGCAAATACAAGAACTGGGGAGAAGATGCAGATAAAAAGCCCAACGTCGCAACTGAGGAGCTGGCTCAGATGAGCCATGGGCAGACGGGAGAGCTCTCGGCCTTTGAGGGAAGGCAGCAGCTTGCCCAAGCTGCCTGCAACAGCCGTGTTCCTCCCTGGCAGGGGTTATCTCAATCCTAAAGACAGGCATGCTTTGCAGATTCAAAAAAAAAGAAATCCCATTTTCTGCAATCTCCTTTAGCCTGGGCCCTAAGAGGCAGCTGTGCAGAAATAAAGAGCTGGGGTTACAATTAGTCACAAGCTGAACACAAGCCAACAATATCGTACTGCTGGTAAAGACCAAAATCCTTGTGTCTGTAAACAGGACTGCCTTATGTAAGGCACACACAGTAATCCCTGTGCACCAGTCTGCTGGGATCATAGCTGGAATGGTGTCTCATCCTGGTGGCTGGATTTCAAGAGAGAAACAAACCCATAAAGCAAGTTCAAATGAAAGACATGAAAAGGGTAAAAGGTCTAGGGAAAAAAAAAAACACGCAAACCAACAAACCAAAACCAAACAAAAATAACCCCAACCCCAAAACTTACCAAAGAAGAAATATGAAAAGAATTAGGTTTGTTTAATTGAGGGGGGTGGGGAGGAATCTTCAATGTGCATCTCCTGGAGGTAGAAGCAGGCAAACAAACATTTGCCATCCCATCCAAGGAAATGTTTTTTTTTTGGTTTGAGATCTCTGTGCACAACAGGAGCCAAACATTCCCATGAAACAGCAGTTTCGTTAGGTTCAGCTAAGCTTAAATCAAACTAAAATAGCTAAAGAAAATAAGGGTTTGTTCCTGGTTGGAGGCTTGGCCAGACTACAGAGGAAGAAAACAAAAAGCCAGTATGAGAATGTGATCACTGAAGCCCTGGAAACACTGATTTGGGTAAGCGCAAGTGTTCTTTCGCGTCTTGGAAATTAAGTAACTCTTACACAACCAAAGGCTTCATCTGTCAGCAGGGCTCCCTTGGTGGTGAAGGTGTTCAAGAGGGGGAGAGCACTCCACTGGTGTCTCATCACCAGGCGCCAACTTTGGCAGCATCCCCTCAAATTACAGAATATTCCCTAATTTCTAGTAGAAAAGTTTCTAATCTCTTTATTAAAGCTGCTGTTGATAACTATCTGTAATCCTTCCTTTGTATCTGAATAGAAATAAGCTTGAGTTTGTGGGCAGGTCAATCTCCATCAAAGCAAATGGGAATCTTTCCATCAACTTAAAAATGAACTTAACAGATTCAGCATTGCCTTGACTCAGCCTCTTTCTCCACCTGTACAAAGAGCACAAAGGGTTAGAGACACTTTTCTTATTGCTTTCCTTAAATAAAAAAAAAAAGGCTACAAGCTCTCCAGCTTTAAGGAGCAAAAAGTAAGATGATAAATGCTATTGGAATGACTTAAGTCAGCTGTTTCACAAGTTAAGCAATTTTAAAAGCCTCTTACTGAACCAGGCATGAGAAGATAAATGCTTTTTATTAAAAGGTTGGTTCCATTTGTTCAGCCAAAATATTGTTTATTTTTAAGTCCCGAGGAAAAAGGTTCATTTTGCGTATTGGAACAAAACTGCCCTCACTCCCTGTGTCCTGGGAGTATTTATACTGAGGCTCTTTGTGCTCCACATCTGACAGATACAGGCTGCACCGTGCCCTTGCCCTAGCAGCCCTGTTCAGGGCTCAAAGGGAATCACCACCCTGCCGTCCATCAGGAAATGCCCGGTTTTCTATTACAAGTTATTTGGTGTTTCCTCATCAGGGTCCATCGCAGGGTGGAACCTGAAGTCACTGCTTTAATAACTGACTCATGCCATTCAGCAAATACAAAGGAAAAGCAGCAAAATGTTCATGGATACAGTTAGTGAGGAAGTAACTGGAATCCAAAGATAACATCTGCAGTGCATTCCAGTTCCAATTTCATACCCAGCTGAACATGAACCACGGTGTACAGCCAAGCCAGTCCCTTTCCTGGCTCCCTAAAGGCTCAGTTCATCAACACGCAGCCTCCTCTCACAACTGTCAACAGCTCATCAAACCCAAACACCAAAAACTCAGAGTCAGAATCAAGACCCAAACAGCAGGTTTGAACCACACACTTGGTTTTTTTCTGGGCACCTGTGATTTCTGAGCCCATTCCTTGGGGATACATTTCTTGTTCCGATTTCAAAAAAAAAAAAAGTCTCTGAGACATTGGGTTTATTATCACTATCCCCTCTGCTGCCACAGTTAGACATGAGCAAATAAATCAGAAGTCTCTTCTCAGCAACATTTTGTATCCTCAGCTTCTGAGCAGATCCAGGATATAAAGAGCTGAGTTTGTAGAGATTACTCAAATCGAAGAAAAACAAACCCTGTTTGTGGAAAGTTGGCTTAGAATAGCGAGTTACGCACTCGGACTCCAAAACTCAAACACGTGCAGCAAGAGGAGCTGGTTCCTTGAAGAGCAGCCAGTGCTTCTTCACTGCTCCACGGCAGAGACACGGTGCTGCTGCAGGATCCCACCTGCTACACAGCTTATGCAAAATATGCCAGCAGAATAGCCCCCTTGTCGATCACAGAATTGATTAGGGTGAAGAGACCTCTGGGATGATGGAGTCCAACCTTTGCCCTAACACCCTCGTGTCAACCAGACCATGGCACTGAGTGCCATGTCCAGTCTTTTCTGAAACCCCTCCAGGGATGGGGACTCCACCACCTCCCTGGGCAGTACACTCCAATGCCTAACGACCCTTTCTGTGAAGAAATGCCTCCTCATTTCTAGCCTGAACTTCCCTTGGCGCAGTTTCAGACGATGCCCTCTTGTCCTGTCAGGAGTTGCCTGGGAGAAGAGACCGACCCCCACCTGGCTACCCCCTCCTTTCAGGTGGTTGTAGAGAGCGATCAGGTCTCCCCTCAGCCTCCTCTTCTCCAGACCAAATCCCCCCAGCTCCCTCAGCCGCTCCCCATCAGACTTGTGCTCCAGACCCTTCCCCACCTTCGTTGCCCTTCTCTGGACTCGCTCCAGCCCCTCAAGGTCTTTCTGGTGGTGAGGGGCCCAGAACTGGACACAGCACTCGAGTATGTGGAGTCTTCAGGCATTGCAATGAGATATGTGATCCACTTGATATCATCCAAAGGGCAACAGGAGTTTCAAAACTCACTCAAATGACCGAGCAGCTCAAGGCTGGACCACCGCTCTCCATCCAGAAGACATGCCCAGCAGGAACAAGCAGAAGACAAGAAGCTAAAGGGTCCCCCAGCTCTGTTCTGCATATTTAGACTTTGCAGCTGGATAAGACAGTTATTCCTCCCCGACAGGGAAACCAGAGCAGGCCTGATGAATACCTTGATCAAAGCCACAAAGAGAAAAGACATAGCCGAGATGAGAAAGACAACAACAGGGAAGGCTAAGGCCAAATGATTGCAGCAAAGGGGAACTATTAGGTGCAGGTCACAGCTCCTCTGGGCTGCTCGTGGCCTGTCTACATGAGGAGTTTCTCAATCAGTACAAACCCTTGGAGCAATTCTGAGGCTTTGACAGGATCCAGAGCAAACTGGAACTAGAACGAGCTCCACCTTCTTGGGGTGCAGCTCATATGCACCAGGTTCTGTACAGATTAGTTTCCCTGGAACATCTCCACCAAGAAAAAAACACCAAAACCCACTACCTCCTGGCAAGGCTGCCAGCAGCTAAGTCTGTTCTTCTCGCTGAGCAACCCATTTCCCTGATTACCGTAACCAAGACCAGGCACATCTCCTGGCAGCAGCCGAGTGAGAACCAAGATGTGCAGCCAACATGACCCACTTATCTGTACATAAATATGTTTTTTTGGGTTGTTTTTTTTTTTTTTTTTAAAACTTAGCTAGTAACCCACTGACTGTGCAGATCACCAAAGCTCTGACTGCCGTTCAGACAAGCTGATGTTTAACCCCCAGGTGTACGGCTACCCAGTCTGCTTTCCAAATCCACTTCAGCTAACTCAGCTGTGCAGACACCAAGTTTTCTCATCATATGATCCCACAAATGTCATCAGTGAACTGAAGGCTTTCAGTCACTAACGGGCATTTCCAAATATCAGTGCTTTCTTTTTCACCATAAAAACTGGATTTCCCAGATCTTGGGGCCCTAAGATCATCTGAACCCAAACTTCTTGAGGGAGGAAAGTACAAAGAATTGCTTCCTTCGCCACATCTAAGCATCTTCTCCCACACACCCTGTCTCATCCAGCTAAAGCACATCTTCCCACAGCCCAAGTCCAATCCCAGACCTGCAACGCACCCTTCAGCACCC